TCTCGTAGCTCTTCCTCTTGTGGTTAGCAGCATTTCGATATACCAGAAGTATCCATACCGAGTTAAAAGGAAAGAACTGTAAATCCTATCGCAACATCGGCAGAGTTGTTTTAGCCCTTATCACTAAGGGCTTTAAATGGTTGGACTTATTGGAACTGGTAGATGCCAAGATGGCAGAGTTATGGAAATTTATTAGCTTTTACCTCCTAGTTAAGGAATGCAATTGCGCATTGTATGTGGCTTAAACATTTGAATGGGGTCTTTAATTTTGTGAAAGACCTCTTTGACCTGTCACACAATCATTGATATGAAGGTGATTGTAATTGTTTCCTGCTGTAATAGTACAATTGATACATGAAGATATTTTAGATGATACTAATCATTGCATGATTCTGCTTCTGTTGAGTAAGTAGCTGGATATCGAATAGAATCAGAACAAAGTGCCCCCACAAGGCCCACGATCATATAACAATTCTGAGTGCCGCTGTTTTTGCTTCTTGACCTAGCAGTGAAGGGTCCATCGAGTTGTGTTTAAGGCGATTAAGGTTAGCCGAAGTGGCAAGATAGGGTGGGGGTAATGTGTTAATTTAGTACTAGAATAGGTTTTGATTTTATCAGATACAACGAAAAAAGAGAGAGAAAGGAGCAATTATCATAAGAGCATGTCTAGCGGACAGCTGAGCCCAAGGCTAGGGGGGAAAAAAAAGTTGCTCCAGCGGACAGCCCAGGCCCGGAGGAGGTGTGGGACCCACCAACTCGAGCTGGCCCGAAGGCAGCTTCAGCCCGAGGTCCAAAACAAGGGTTGCTGACGTCACCGCTACAGTACTGCCTTATTTATTTATTTTTTCTGTTGCCACGTAGCGTCGTCTGAGCTCTCCGATATGATTTTTTCCTCCAATCCAACGGCAGCCAATTTCTCTGCAATAAAATACTGGAAAAAATTCGAAATTTTTTTAAAAAATACCCAAAAATTAATGAATTTTTTTCTATAAATACTAGCCAATTTTTTTTTTTAAATTTATCTGAAATTTGAAATTGAAAATTTTATCCGATTATGAGATATAAATAGTATTGACACGTAGGAACCCGAAAATATTATTCAAATTAATTATTCAGGTAAAAAAAGTTGTGAAAAAAATATAAAAAAAGAATAGTAATTGCCCTTTGCCATGGCAACGGG